TAACGGGCAATGATTTCATGCAACCGTTGCATAGTAATATAATGCAACAGCCTTAAAAAACCATCTTATGGCTATTTGTTTGAACCAAAATTTGAAATATGCACTCTTTTCATTCTAATGAACAATCACAAAAAAAGAAAAAATTGAAAACATAACCTAGAAAGTATTTTTTTAGCCCAATTAATATAGGCCGTTCATTTTGGTGAGATACTTAGATCTAGACCTTAGAAGGATTCTTTCATTTCCAATTTTTTTGGATGGTTTTATTATGATTAGATGAACAATGTTAAAAAAGAAAAAAATTATTTTGAGTTTATAAAAGCTAAGATCTTGAAATTCACAAAATGAATGGTCTAGATTCGTTTTTGGAGGGGACTCATTTTGACCATATCTAGGGTTCAAATTGAAATTTTTTTTTTTGAAGATTGATTATTGAGATGAAGAGAGTGTGTATGCAAATTTTGTGGTCATACAAATACCACAAACATGGTTTTATAGAAGTGTTCTTGCATTATATTATGATGCTCTACACAATATGTGGATAGGGTCACATAGAAAGCCCTCCCTAGGCTTAATGATGTGCAATGCTAAAGAACCCATATTTGTAGGATTTTTAGGTTTTAAAATATTGGGGATTGAATATATCCTTTATCTATAGCAAATGGAGGTCACAATGAAAAAATTCTTCTAAGGCCTAGATCTTGTATCTCATCAAAATAAACGCCCTATGTTAATTAGAATGAAAAGAGTGTACATTCCAAATTTTGTTTTGATTGTTTATTAAAATGAAAAGAGTGTATATTCCAAAATTTGGATCAAACAAATGTTCATAAGATGGGTTTTTAAGGTTGTTGCATCATATTACTATACAACAGTTGCATGAAATCATTGCCCTTATCCACAGACATCAAATGCAAAACCCAATAGCTTGGGTTGCATCACATAAAACAAAAAAAAAAAAAAAAGGAGTTTGAGCCTAATCAGTGCAACTCTCTTGTACTCCCGGTGTCCATCTTATAGCCTGTTGGTAATTGTGACTACCTTATATAAAAAATAAACAATCTTATTCTATGTATCTCTTGGGATCTTCATCCTGATAAATAACCATTCATGGGGGTTCAAATTTTTGGGATATTTTTTGACTGAATTTATGGACACTTTTAAATAAAAATAATTTATCTAGTTTCTCAAAAAATAAAATAAAATTGAGCTCTCCAAAATCTAGTTCCAGACGGTCCAAAAAATTTAATTATCAAATGTTGGTTTGTTGGACAATGAAGATGTAGAGTATTAAAGCTGATAATCAAACTCACTTATTTTTATTTTTTTTAGATAATCACTAGTTGTATGAAAGATATTCGCGACATTGCACTCGCAAAGTCTTCCCTAAAGCTTACCACCATTGTGTGTTCTTCTTTGGTCCTGCTAGTTTCTAGTTGTGACATTGCACTTGCAAAGTCTTCCCCAAAGCGTACCACCATTGTGTGTGCCCTGCTAGTTCTAGTTGTGGCAATGGGGTTGGGTCGACCCACCAACTTGATGGGTCAACTGGACGCGGGTGTAGTTTTGGAACACACACATGCTTGCGTGCGCACACACAGACACATATATGTCGCATAAAATCATTTATCTTCTACACAAGAATGTCACAATTATTCATAGCCATTAAATGTCAAATTGGATAGGTTGGTATGTGTCATGATATTCAATTTTTGTTTTTTTTGGAACTTTGAGTCGAATCAATGACATGCTCCTAAAGGATGAGTTTTCTATGATTCCACACTCCACGGACTCATGATTATGTGTACTGATGGAATTTATTACGGGGAAAAGTTTATTTAGAGCCTAGGCGCTAAACAATCAAATTAGAGACTACCTCAAAATTTTCACTAGAAGATGTTGTTTTGATGCTCAAATATCCTCAAATTGATCATCTCGGCATCAAGATGCAAGGATATGAGAAAAAATGGATTTCAATTTTTGGAAATAGTGTATTTTACAACGCATTTTTGGATTGTCAATTTTCAAGATTTTCAAGTTTTCATAGATCTGTCGATCTACACTATTTTTGAAGCTTTAAAATTTATAAATAAAAGTGAAAATATATTTTAAGGCTATTACAAAGATTTCCAGTATTGAAACTACATTTCTCAACACTATTTGAAAGTAGGTTCTAATTTGATTGTTTAGAGCTTAGTCTCTATACAAACGGCAACCGATTATTAAATTAAATAAGAAAGTATGAATGAGTTGTTAGATAGTTAATCTCTCATATCCATCTTGATAAATCTTCTTAGAAACATGACATACCAAATTCTGGGATTTTGTGGTTTGAGGTATTTGCATTCGTTGTTAAGGAAAGATGACATTCTCATTGAATGTGATCATCCTATTGCCGTTGTAGTTTATATAACCCATGTCGAAGGACACATTTCCTGTGCTAACAAACTTTGCAATCTGTTTTCTCTTATAAATATTAAATCTAAAACTCAAAAAATTTATGCAGATCAAGAAGATCCATAATTGAAACTTTTGAAAATGAACGGTCCAGATAATGTATTACAAGATGTATTATTTTTTTGAAATTTTTTTATATAAGGTTGATACTTTAAAATGTAGAATTAAGGTGTACCTGTACAATCCTTCAAAAATTTGATGTTGGAAAAGTATCTAATTGATCATCTCGATATCGAGATGTATAGATTATAGAAAAAAAGAGATTTCAAATTCTAAAATAGTACATCTTACAATACGTTATCTGGATTGTCCATTTTCAAGATTTTCATATGTTTATAGTTTAGTTTATTTGAACTATTTTTGGAGTTTAAAATTTTATAATTAGAGATAAAAATAGATCCTCGTGCCATCCTAAGAATTTTTTATACCAAAACTGTATTTGATGACAAAGTTTGGGGTGTACCTTAATTTGATGGTTTAAGGTTGCAACCTTATGCAAACCGCACCTTTTTTTCTCTTGGACATCAAATTTTTTTTTTTTTTTTCCGATATTGACGTACCTAACGACCATGATGAGCAGTTGAAGGTTCCCTATCATTGAAACAATATTTCTAGTGAGTTTTAAGGTGGGTCTTACTTCTAAATTGCTTAGTTATTCATAAAACTCAATGTAAAGCACACCTCTAAATCTTACTAAAAAATGCAATTCCAGTTTCGAAAACACGTACCATGGCTTAAAAATATATTTTAACCCTAAATTAGAAATTTAAAGCTCAAAAAATAGTGTAGATGGAGCCAATCTATAAACACTAGAAAACCTTAAAAACAGATGGTAAATATTATGTGTTATAAGATGCACTATTTGTAATATTTGAAATCCTTTCTTTTTGCTCAGGTTCATAGATCTCGAGATCGAGATCGATCAATTGTAGGGTCTTTTAACGTCGGAAAAATCTTTTTGGGCAGACTTTTGACACCTAGTATAAACTTTTGAATAGGGTTTCTATGAGTCGGCCAACACACATGTACAAATGCGACCCCCCTCTAAAATCCATCTTAAAGGGGACTCTGTAAATGTGATCAGATGGTACTCGAACCCTCATGCAAATTCTTAACAATTGACATCCACCATGGACGAAATACTTAACATTCAGGGCACAGATGTCACTTTTGCCCTTATCAACAGAGAAAGGAATGGACCAGCTGCTACTTCAACAAAGCTGGCAACGTTATAGACTCCGATGTCTTCCTCATTTTATTCTTCCCTCTAATCTATTTCCCTTCCTTCTCTTCCCCTCTTTCTTCTCTTTCTCTACCTCTTTTCCCCTTGGCTTCTCTTTCTTCTTTCTCTCCATACCTCTTTTTCATCCTTTTGAATTTTGCTGTATTTCTTTTATTGACTCAATGAAATCATTGTTAACAAAAAAAAAAAAAGAAAAAGAAAAAAAAGAGTGGAAAGATGGATTTAACCTTTTTTTTTTGGTTGAGATTCACTATCTAAGCCATGGTGCTTGAATATAAAAAATGCAATAAAAATTTAAATTGTATTTTTAGGGAAAATTACTAAAACCTCATTGACTAAATTTTCTTAACATCCTTCCCCAAGAACTTTTAAAATACTAAAAACCCCAGTAATGCTTTTTTTTTGTGCTTTCCCCTAGTGAAAAGGTCAAAAAATTTAGGAAAAAGTTTATATACGGATGCAACCTTATAATGTAGAACTACAGATGCACCTCAAAAATCCATCAAAAAAAGTAGTTTTAATGTTGAAAAACCCTTTAATTGATCATCTCGACATCGAGATATATGACCATGAAAAATAAAAAAATTTTAATTCTCAATAATAGTGCATTTTACAACATATTATCTACAGCCTCCATTTTCAAGATTTTCATATGTTCATAGATCTACTTGATGTTAACTATTTTTGAAATTTAAAATTTTATAATTTGATATAAAAATAGATTTTGAGATAATCCTAAGAACATTTTACATCAAAATTATATACCATGATAAATTTGAAGGTGCACCTTACCTCTACAGCTACGGATGCATTCGTATGCCAACTGCACCCAAAAATTTATGACTAGAATACCCTACTCTCTACCTTATATCCATGTTTTCATATTGATAGTCCGGCACAAAACACTGTCGAACCGGCTTTAAGAGCCGTTGCTGGACAGACACTATGAAATTAATGTGCCGGACCGATTCGATACATTTTTTGTGTTAGACTGGACTCATTTTTCGGTTCAATTGTTTGACCGGCACTATGAAATCAATATGCCGGACTGGTCTGACGCTTTTATTGTAGCAGTCCAACAAATTTTTTTTGTTGAAGACGAACACATTTATTTTTTGGTTTGACACAAAAAGAAAAAAGTTAAAAAATTGGGTGTTGTAAACCAAGGTCAAATGGGGTATTTTGGAAACAAAAAAATACATTTTTGCACTTGGGGGAACAGATACGGATCACGTTAGCGTTTGGGAAGGTTTTTGTGGGGAGGATGTTAACAAAGCTGGGGTTATGGGGGTGTACGGTCCAAATCTCCACCCCACTGACTTACCAAAAGACAAGCAAATTTAAATTAAAATACGAGAATTCGTCACGCGTCCTCCTCCGCTCTAACCCACCCAACCCTTCGGCTAAACAACATTTTTATCAGGTGCACCAGCCGGTTCGTCACTGAAGTTCTCTCGAAAGAATGATCCAGCCATAGATTTCTCTCTCTAAAACAACATTTTTATCGGGTACTGTTTACTTGCAGGCTTATTATTATTATTATTTTTTGTGAAAAATATTCGTTTTGCTTACATTGCGTAATGAAGATTGAACATAGATTTAGCTGAATTTCCTGTAAATTTTGACTTATATTTAGAGATCCAAGGAAATTTACTGTAATTATTCGATTGTATTCTGTGAAATCCGGTGCTTCATATTAAGAACATGTAATTGTCTTTTTCCTTCGATTTTCCCTTTATTTTCTTCTTCAAAATTTATTTGATCCTGCAAATTTGTGAAGTTATATATATGTATATATATGTATTTTATCTTATTGGATTTATGTTGAAGTATAAAATGTGATTTACTTTGTACGAATAGACAATTACCCCAATTTTTTCGATGTGCTCATATGAGTTAATCACTAAATTATTAGTGGAATGGATCGATTCAGAGAAAGCGATCTCATTTATTTCATTCTTTTTGTGGGATAAACTTAAAAATCGATAGATTGCTGAATATTGGTATGGATTGACATGGGCTATGGGATTTGGTGCTTGTTTTTGTTGGGTTGACTATTTTGTAATGCTTTCAGTTATTGTTGTTGTTGTCCACTGTAAAAAGAGGAAAAAGCTTTGGTTTAACATTTTCTTATTTTGATGTGAAGATTCAATGGGGGATTAAATTAGTCCCAAGTTTGGGATGGCCATCTGCTTTGTCATGGAACAATTGAGACTTAATTAAGTTAATTGAGACTTAATTAAGTTGTATGTCGATGAAATTGAAAAACTGATCAATGGACTCTAGTGTCTGGATCTGCAGAATAGTCATAACTTAATGACCTAACTGTCATAAGAGGAAAGGGATTTGTAGAATATATGTTTTGATTTGTGAGTTCCTGTTATATGTAGCTTATGAATTCCTGAGAGTTTTCTCACTTGTTATAGTCATCATATGTTTAGATAGTTGATATTAAAATATTAAAATGTTTATAGGGTTCCATTGAGAAGTTCATTGTACTTTCTTAGAGAATTCATGTGAATGTTTTCTTGCTTCTTGATACAAGTAAAGATGAGTAATTTTATGGTTTCTTTTCTTTTAGTTTTATTTTCTGTTTCTTTGTGTTAGATACTTATGTTGCGATTCAGATACAGAGTTATTTACCTTCTTTTAGTTAGATATGTATGTTGCGATTTAGATACGGAGTTATTTATCTTCTTTTAAACTTCAATTATCACTTGTGATTTGATGCTATATTTTTAGCATTGAAGCTGTTGTAATTATATTCCTGTCGAACTATCATCTTTCTTCTTGCACATGCATATGTAACCTTTAACAGTTATTTTATTGATCCAAGTCCTTTCTCATAATAATGAGCAGTCACAGTTTTTTCTAAATCTTTTCGGTCGGATAAGATGGGGAAATTTGGTGTAGAAAACTAATTTAAGAAAAAAAGAAAAGTAGGTTCATGGTTTCCTCAACAAGAATGAGATGGAATTGGTACGTTCTCACTTTGACATTCTGACAGAAAGTTGTGCATGTTTTCAGATATTATGAGGGTCATGCTTGTCTGAAATCCTTGCCAAAATGCCTGAGGTTGCAAATAGAAAGGTAACTTATTAACCTGTTGTCAAAATGCGATATGAAGTCGTGTAGCTGATCCCAAATAGTTCGGATAAGGATTGGACGATGATGATGATTATGTTACTAAGTACCTTTATTTCATATTCTTGTGCTTGTTGCGAAAAGTGCTTGTGTCAAAACCAGTTAATATTCCTCTATTGTGTGAACTGCATTATATTAAAAGAAACACAAGGAACATCTTTTCTCATTTTATTGTTTGTGATGATGAAATTCAATTAAAAAAACTTTGATGGCATTTGCGAGTTCTAACTTCTCAAATTTCCTTTTTGTCACTGCTGCAAAATGAATTAATTGGTATTTATGAGTGCTGGGAGTTTTATGTTAGCATGCAAGGAGCCGCTTCTAATTAAGATGACCTAATTGCGAATAGAACAACTAAGCATTATGAAAATTTAAAAGAATAACAAATGTAAATCAGTTTTTCTTCACTTTATGTATCTCTAAACTCAACTTAAATTTGTTGTCTTGGGTAAGAAATCGAGAATGTTGCTCATACACTTCATTGTGTTTTGGAAGTAGAGTATCTAGGGAACTTTTGAACTTTTTAACTATCACTAATGGTTCCTGCCATACCTTTATTATTAAGCATGAGAATGGTAAACGTTTTGCCTTGCAGAATAACACCTTGATTGTGGTTTAGACGCAAGTTCCTCACTGTCCATGATCATAAATGGAAGTTAATAAAATTCGCACTATGAACATGATTCTAAATGGATTCCTTTCATCATGTGTAATTGTGTATATGGAGCTGTTTAATATCTGGATATTCACCTTTGTCCATTTCATTTTTTTCATAAGCATGCAAGTAGATGCTCCAGTCACTTGGTTGAGCAAGTTGTTTTCAGTTACTTAATACAGTATTTTTTGAATAATTATTAGATGTACATTTGTGCCAAGGATCGTAAAAAAAAGTGCATTTGTGCTAGTGTTATTTGTCAATTCATGGTAAGATTTCTCATTGTAGTATGTGATTCACAAGGATCGTCATGTTGTTGCATGTTTATTTTGTTTTAGAGATGAGAGTTACTTTTGAGGCTTTTTCATTTATCTGAAATTTTAACGTGATATAAACTGGTTATAGGCTGACACACTTGGTGACGCTCATGAAGTGCAAAAACATGGATTTGATTTGGGTGTAGTTGTTGGAGATTTGGCATTTGAGGATGATAGTGACAGGTATTATGAATCAAATATGTACTTTCTCGATAGGAAAATTATATGAGGTTGACTGAGGTTTTTAGCAATAGAGGAAAATTATGGCTCTACTTTTCTGCATTTTTAGATTTTTGAATTGCTCGGAGACTGCACATATTATTTATTGCTTTTGGCTTGATATTGAAATCCTCAATAGCCTTCTCTTATTGGTCTTTATTTAGAGATTAACTGATTATTTGTTGGATTGAGAAAGATCACAACTGTAAACGCCTAGCATTTATTTGTTTTCATATAAAAATTTGTACTTTTCTCTGCCTATTTGTTACCAGTCACATGCATACGGTGTCTTTTGTTAGTAACTGCAATGTAATGAAACAAATTAGCAGGACTCCTGGATAAGAGGAATCTGCAAGACATCTTGCAAGTAAGGTGATATTTAGTTGATATTCTAATGATGGCCTTTTTTTTTTTTCCCTTTCTTATATTCTCAGATCAGTAGTCATTTTCTCTAAAAGAAGAAAGGAAGAAGGTTACAAACTTGCCAGATATAAATGCCTGCCTGAGCCCTTCATAGGCCCTGTAATATTATTCTTGCTCTGGCGTTTGTTTTCTCTCATTTCTTCGTTGATTGTTCGCTATCTTCCTTCCCTCCAATATGTTCACCCTATGTTCCATCACTTAGAGTGAGAATAATTCCCAAGCAAGTGGCCATGAGTTGGATGGTATCATCCATGCATTGTTCATATCTGATAGTTGCATTCTGCCCATTTTTCTCTATTGCCTTTCTCTTTCTGGTTTTTCAGGCTTAATGCTCTTTGAATTGACCTGTTTGCCTATTTATGCTTAGTGTCCTGGACAGGTTTTAGGTCAATGTCTTTGAAGATCTTTGTTATGTTCATTATCACAAAATGGAAGAACTGAAATTTCACCTTCTTTTGTAGCGATGACATATCTTTGGAGGGATTACAGCAGGAATTGGAGGACTGTAAGAATGACAATGTAAGTCCGATGGCTTCTGCAGTACGTGTTCATTTGGGTATCTAGAGGAGACTCCTATTTTCTTGATATTTTTTCACTGCTTTTTATTTTGTTGAGCAGAATTATTCATACCATGCATTCAGCTCTGCTGCATCTTTTCGTTCATCAGAAGTCCATATTTGATTTTATAGAATTGCTGATGTTTGCATTTACTGGGTACTTGATTTGCATTGAAGGTATTGCCTTTGGAATGTAAGAGAAAGGAACATAACTACTCTTATGATTTCTCCAGTAATAACTTTTGGATTTCTCCACATGTTGGCGTTGTTCTCTCTGATTATAGTTTTTTAACAAGGCACACATTTTAGATAGGATGGTGAAGTTAAGATTTTTCTTTGGAGGCTAAACGGGATTGTTTTAGTATATCTTGGGGGAATAAAACAGTGTAGCAAATGTTTGTAAGTTTTTGTTCGAAAGATGCACAAAGGGGGACATTTACTCTTTGATCATGTTACAAGTGTAGGAGTCAAATATGATGATTGAATGTTTGAATTTTACTGCCATAGTGATTACTTTGTCACATGTGTGTTGATTAAAGTGTTTTTCTAATTATTATGGTACTTTCTTGCTTTATTTACAGGTAGTAACAAATATACTGGCGAAAGGCACATCATTACGAGAATATGCAAAAGGTGTCGAAAATAATGTTCGTGAAGATGAGTTGGAGTCCATTCAGGTGTCTTCCTTACTTCCTATCTAGAATTCTCCTAACTGAAGATTCCTTTTTGACTTTCCTATGCAGTATTTCATTGGTGTATGTAAATATTTACAGAATACTTTATTCATGCTTGTATGGAACTATGGATTATTAGCTGAAATCCATATACATTTTGTGTTACTCTATTTATCTTTCTAATTCTCTATCATCCATGGTGAAGATCCAGATTATGAGATAATTGAAATCTCTTTGGTGATCCATTTCTCGGAAGACCTCCACTAAAGGATAATCCAATAACACCAGTTGAGCACCTGGTACTGTGGTGTCTGTGTTCACTTAGTATTTATCCTTGTCCTGTGATGTGTTTCTAATTGCACCATCTTAAATTTTACGACTCAATCACACTGGCTTTGGATGACTTTTTCTATTATTGTATATTATGTTTGAAAAAGAACCTATGGGTTCAAGCATTTCTTTGTATTGGCCAGCCTGTTTTTTTGTTTTGGTTAACTGAAATGTGTACCTCGCTAGATCTCGCCAGTTCTTTCCTAGTTTCATTCTATTCAGTTGCGGTGTGGATGGCCTGTATGGTTGTGGAAAACAAAGTACATTTCTGATGTTTTTATTTGCATTTGGGGATAGATTGATTTGCATAATGGACTTGTAAGATGAAGGGAATTTGTACTTATTCTGCTCGACATTTTGATCTGTTTAAGTCTGTTGTATTCCCTGCAGAGATTTGTCAGATATCACTTATAATCTATTTCTTCTGCTTTTGTGTAGGATTACATAAAAGAGAGTGACAACCTGGTCTCCCTCCACAATCAAATTCGTGATTGTGATTCCATTTTATCACAGATGGAAATTCTGCTCAGTGGATTTCAGGTACGTCCTTTATCACTTCATATGAGTTTTCGAATCAAAATTTGAACCATGTGTATTTGGTCCGAATGATAGGATGGGATTTGATGTGGAATGGTTTCTTGTTGCAGCAATGCTAAGAGAATATCTAGTTACTAGATATTTTAATTATTAATTATCAAAAGATATTTTCCTTTATTGCTCAGTTATTCAATAGAATGAGGTAATTCTAATTCTATAATGGACATCTATTTAATGTGAATATGAAAGTAATGGACTACTGGTGCTTAGTTATGGGATTTGCGCTTGGCAGTGTACATTCTTAGGAGCAGTTCATGGCGCTGAGCAGTTCCTAGGTTATTTTTTATATGAAGTCGTCCTTCACCCTATCTGATTGTCACAAATGTTTCATTAGCAATAATTTTAAATAAGATCTAAGATGTTAATCAATTATTTTCTTAGTCAATCTCTTTTTCTTATGAATCATATTAGAAATAAAAAATGGAAATTTACTGATTGATAAGATATATAATTTAACAACATTGTGGTGTAAAAAAGCTTTCTGGATGTTGTCCTCGATTTAAAATGTTGTATATGCCTTGGAAGAAATTAGAGGATTGAAAATTGGTTTACATCCTGCATACCCCTCAGTCAGCGAATTGCCTTCTGGTTCTTTCTTTACTTGATAACAGTTATTTAGGAGCTTCTTTTGCAAATTGGTTTTCTTGATTGCCATTTTGTTGCTCTAAGTACATTGGACATAAATATATATTATAGCTTTTGAACTTCTTGTGTACAGTTTGGTTATGATAATGTATGTCCTTTGTGTATTAGGCTGAGATTGGTTCTATTAGCTCAGAGATCAAAAGTCTCCAAGAGAAGTCAATGGATATGGGGTTGAAGCTGAAAAACCGTAAGGTATATGACAAATTGAAATTGGCATGCATATCCTTATGGTGGTTGTAGTGTTCATTTATGGGTTTGCATCTTAACTACTCTCTGCACGTGCTATTAGTCACTCCTCTACATTTGCTAGTAGCATCATGTTTTAACCTCCACACGTCTTGTCTCCCTTTTTTCTTTTGTACTATGTCACAAACACATGTTACTCTCTAGTTTTCCTTCATGGGTCTGGACTTTTTATTTTTATCACAGTGATTCTGTGGCAATATACATGTAATTTAACCTCTTATAGGAAGCAGTTTCATTGTTGCCCCATATAATATATTGATCTTTCTGGTCCTTTTATCTTCTTGGCTTCTAAATTATGAAGTATGTGATCATAAAAGAAACAACATAATCATGGCTGACAATGTGACATGGAATTTATACCATAACAACACAAACAGCGCATATAATGATGATATTATATGCCCAAAGTATGGTCAACAACATCTTATCTTGATTTCCTTTCATGTTAGAGAAATGGATGCTGGAAGGTTGAAGCTCTTGGGAATTTGATTCTGTGCTTCAGGGCAATCGTGATCAGTCCATGCCATGATGTACATACTTATGAAACACCCTAGTTCCTTTGGTGAGGGTTAACCATTACCTTCAAAGCGTTTCTCGACTCCTTTGTTGTTGGCAGGGGAAGTACATAACGGTTTGAAAGGCTATGTATCTCTATGCACCAAAAGTCCATGGCCAACACCAACATGCCCTAGTATATGAAATGCTCTGTGATTATAAAGGGTACCCTAGGAAATATAGGGTGGCCTCACACACATGCAAAACACATGTATAGGATTTGTATTTTATGTGTGTGATATCCATTTTTTCATGTACATTATAATCATATAATGAATATCATATGCAATACATCAAATACACACATTATTGAGGTGAAAGGTGGCTCAATTGAGGAGATATGGGTTGCCTCATGTAATCCCAAACCCTAGGGAAGGCAAGCAGTTATTTAGAAAAGGACATTGTCTGAAAAACTTGTCAGCACTGAGCAATTTAATGCTGGCGAGCTGCAGTCCATGTTGTGTCAAGGACCTTGGCTCCATATCAGGAGCTGCTTCCTTGTGCAACAAGGTGTTCTGCCTGGTGGGAAGTGTTAATGTGGTAGCTAGACTTGCATTTCCTAATTGTTCAGTACCAATTACTCATGTAGGCTTACATTAACCAGTCACTGGCCAGACCTGTCTGGATAGGCGATCCTCTTGACATGATCGCACCGGTTTGGCCATTACAGTGCAGGAAAAAATTGCAGAAAAAGTTACGAAAAATGAGATGTTAGGGTTTGTGATAAAATTTGATGATAAACAGTATTTATTTTGTTGAAATTATCAAGCATGAAAGGAATTTCGTTCCTAAAAAAGTTGTACAAAGCTTGTAGAGGGCTCAAATGGAAAAAATTTATGACATTTCATACAAAATGGATGTTAAATGAGGAAGAACAAGCTGTAATGATGAACTTTTGAAAAACAAAAATTTTTTACAAAAATTGTCAAAAATAAAAGCCGAGAATGAAGAATCCAAATCTAAACAAATATTTTGGTAAAATGATGGAATACCTATTATAGATTGTTGCTAACATGGTCTGAAGTGAAATCTGGGTCAAATTGAGGATGAAAACTCAGATCTGAGGCTATTCTTTTACAGATTTGAGCCTTGGTTTTCAAAAAACTCCCAAATTTGGAGCACTCAATATCGACCAAAAGTGGTTCCAATCAGCAAAATAGTTGTGCAGATCTTGTCAAGGGCTGCAAGAAGAAGATTTTGGCACAAGTTTTACACAAATGGTTCACAAATGGGGGAGAACCAAGTAAAAAAGCAGGTTTTCAAAAAGGGGTCTGATTTTGTTTTTAAAAAATAATAATTGGAGAATCACCAATTTTCTGAATTTGAATTGGCAAATTCCCAATTGAATTGCCCAATTCTCTGACCAACTGTGCGATCAAGGTAGATCATACTGATTCCCGGTTCCGTAAAGGAAAGGGAACTTGGATGGTCCCCTAGAAACTGGATCGGATCAGGTGATTTCGATCCGACCAGGCTCTTTTTTTTGTAAACCTTGCTTGTTACAAAGCAAACCTGGATTCTTTTCATCTTTAAGTCTAGTTTCTTCATGTTTTTCCCACTTGCCTCATGGAAATTCAAAGAGTTTGATCTGCACATATGCTACTTATAGAAAAACTGCACCAGTTCTGATATAAATTGCTTTGCAGGTGGCTGAGTTGAAATTGGCCAGATTTGTGGAAGACATTATTGTCCCCCCAAGGATGGTGGACATAATTGTTGATGGAGAGGTGCTTTCTCGTCCATTTTTCTGCCTGCACTTAGTTATTACATAAATCATTTATTTCTTCCAATCTTCGCAAAACCTGGTTTTCTGTGCCTATGATGAAGTTACCACCGAGTGGTGCTTTGCAACACAGAACCAGGCAGGGACCAGGTCTGAATCATCAAGTCCCAAGTCCTAATGGTCAAGAGTTGGACTTTGCTCACTGTTTCTTCTAGAAATTCAGATAGACTCAGTTGAGACTCGGTGAGACTCAGCCAGACTTGGTCAAGACTTGTGTCATCGGAGTCGGGGTCTTCTGGCTGATGCCAGTATTGAGTGACTCCGGCGAATCCAAGTCAGACACACTGAGTTTTTTAACACTGCCAATACAATTTGTACGTTTTTAGTTGTATCAAAAGCTCCTTTGATGTCTGATATTAGCCAAGGAGTTGGCAGTCCAAAAATTCCTTCAAAAAAGTAAATCTAAAAATACCTGAAAAATTAACATATCAGAAGTACCATAAATAATCATAAGCCCAAAAGAAGACATGAGAAATTTATTCTCACAAAACGTCGAAAAGAAATGTACCTTAAAAAGAAAAAAATGAATTTCACCAAGCTCTAGAGTCCCTGCTGATAAAGTACTCCAAAGGGAACACTGTAACAAAGTGAGGAACAACATAAACATTTTTTATGAAAGTATTATGAATTAATCGTTATTATGAGATAATTGTTTTCATAAAAATCCAATTACTGAAATCATTCAAAAGAAGAAATGAAGATCAATTTTCACTGAGCTCCAAAAATATTTGAAGAAAATAAAGCCAAAAAAAAAAGAAGTCACAAACTAATATAACAATATGAGAAAATACCATAAATAATCTTGAGCCTCAAAAGAAAAGGCTTCTTATAAAAAGGCAAAATCTAATATGACCAAGCGCAATTGTCTATGTACTGGAAAAAGAAAACTGCCTACAAAAAATTATTTGAAACATAGTATTGTCATAATAAGAGGTACATTAAGTTCGCTCCAAGTTGGTGTTTGGAACCCCAAACAAGGGAGGGCATTTTTGGAAGTTGGCCACTAAAGTTACTTAAGTCCGAATAAGTAATCACTCTTACTTGTTCTAGGTTCGAAACCGGGAAGATGTTTTTTTCGTTAAAAAATCTTGTTCCGAGTTTGGAACATAGACAAGCAGTGTATCTATGAATTATAACACATTGGCCCTATCTTGTTCCTAGTTCCAAACCTGGAACAAGATTTTTTAATGAAAAAAACATGTTCTTCGTTTGGAACCCAGAACAGGAAGGGTTGTTGAAGTCATTAGGCTCAAGTGATTTAAGTGGGTCAAATAACCAAAATGCCCTGACTTATTCATGGTTACAAACCCGGAACAAGGGCAATATGGAAATCTTTTTAACAAAAATCTTGAGGAGTTACCGGCTTCTTGTTAATAAATTGTTGATTTAACTTCCTTGTTGATTTTTAAGGTCGTTTACCATTTTAATGATATTTTCCATTTTACTTTTTGGAAAAAGTTTGTTCCATTGATTTGGTATAAAATTACAAACTGTTTAGTGGAAAACTACCAGCTTCAAAAGTTCACTTTCATTTGGGATATTTTATCCTTAATACATTGGCTGAACCTAATAAAGAAACGAATAAGCGGCAGGGATAGGACATTGAGATCTATAAATAAGAAGATGAGAGCAAGGATACAATAAGGTTGTATAGAGAAGAAAAAGAGGGGGAGGAAGGCATGGTGAAAGATGTGATACATAAGGAGACAGAGGGAAATATGAAAGATTTCTTTGATAGGATTTTCTTAGAATTATACAAAGAGAGGGAGAGATAAGGGGTTCTCTATGAAGAGAGGCCAAGTTGGAATGGTTGGATGTTCTTGTAAAAATGGTTGGGATTGTCTTGTGCGACATGCACAGGACAATTGGAAGGTAGTATAGATATATGACACCACTCTAGTGAGCACAAAGCCATCACAAAACCCACATGTTATATATCCCAGACAATTTGTTGAAAACATGCAACACAATTCTGTCGCCATCCTAGAAATCTCATGGCAAATCCAACAAAATCAAGATTTCAGACACGTCACAAAAACCAAACCATGAAATGAAAGGCTAATTAGGCAAAAATAAAAAACAAAAAAGTGCTTACTGTTCTGAATTCATAGTAGAATATACAAAAAAGAACGGAGATAGGATCGTTGAACACTCCGGTTTACAGCTAGATTATATTGCTGGTAATCGGGTTTGTTGCTTGAAGAAATGGAATAAAGAGATTGTGGAGGGAAAGGGTAGAGGGTAAAGGGGATTTTTATCTCTTCCATCATATGCGTGTCTTCCATCTCTCTCTATCCCTATCACCTTTCATGTCGGAAAAATGGGGGAATATATGTTTTAGAGGCTGTCTTTGGGAAAGGTGAAAAGTGCAATGTTTTATAACCTTCATGTTATATCTAATTTTAGGAAATAAAAATCTTGAAATTGGGACATTTTCAAGTAGCATGTACAGAGAAATGCTTCTCCAAATCACTAACTTAAAATTTTAAAAAATAATAATAATAAAATTGGGAAATTACTCATAGTGATTGTCAAAGATTTCGGAATGGTTGGTACTTTATAACATAGATAGAAATAGAGTGAGATACGACAGCAGGTGTAGTTCATCACTTGGGCACATACATTAGGTAGATACAATGTTCAAGACGATGGCGGCCGCTGCCCATGAGGTCAGTGGTCCCAACCGCCTAGGCTGCTGGGTAGCCGCTCAAGTGACCAGGTGTAAAGAAGATTTTTTTTTTTTGGGGGGGAGGGGTAGGGGTGTTTAAATTTTCATTTTCGCATTAAAAATTAGAAATAATATAGAGTAATATTTTTAAAGTTGCACTTATAAATTAGAAACAAATTCAAACATAGCTAAAAATATATTATAAAATTTCAAATTTGCATTGTAAATTTAAAAACATATTAAAAAATACTATAGTCACAAAAAATAGCAAACTCTTAAAAAGAATTCCGCTCATTAAGTTTAATCATAAATGTAACGTCAAACTTCAAAAATAAACACAAGAAAATGATAAAAAAGCATAACATAACACATTACCTACGAAAAATATTAAACCCTAAATATTAAACAATTTACTAACATTTTGAAAACCTATTGAATTAGGATAGAATCTGTCACTTTCGGTTGCCAAATGCTCTCTTTGGAAACCACTTTAATTCCCAAAAAGTTCAGGGTCGAATGCCTTTCTATCTCACAACTTTGAACTTGAATTCAATATTTAAAAAATTCAATCTTTGAGCTAAAAAATTTGCCGTCGCCAAAAGGTCTCTGGGCGGGCACCCAGGCAGTGCCCTGGGCAACTAGTTGGCCGCCCAAGGTCACCGCCCTGCCCCCCAAGGTCACCGCCCTGCCCCAAACGACATAGCCCAGTGCGGGGCGGTGAGGGTGTGGCAGCCGACTTTTTAAACTATAGTTATATATGGTAACCTCTTGAGGATTTATAAGGGCATAAATGAAGAATCTCAATTTTAGAAGTTGATGCACAAGCGATGTGATTTTAATTAGAGTTTCCATTTGAGCACACATTACTGTCTGGGATTTACCTAATCCTGACAATAAGAGTCAACTCATTGTTTTCATTGTCACTTGATTCATACTGCAGTTGTGGCACAACCTGATTATTCTGCTGCTGTGAAGTTAGCATCCTGTATATTATTCCAGGAATTGCCCTATCTTTACTGTCTTTTTTCCCCTTAGTTTCCTTATCTTGGTTCACAATGAGTCGGCTTGCTGATAAGGACCTGTATATGACATTACTTGAAGTTGGATTCTTTTGGCTTATTCCTGTAGTGCTAACACTTTTCTGCTTTTATGCCTACTTAGGCCTGTAAATCTTTTCTTTTTTTTTTTATAGAACCTCTGTAGTGCTCTCTGTATTCCAGCATTTCATTTTTTCTCTTTCTTTTCGGTAGCTCAGAGGTAGGATTCGAACTTGGGGTTAAGTGTTGCAATAGTAAAAACCTTAACCAATCAAGACCAAGCCTAACTTCCAGTTTTGTATGTTGGTACACGGGCAATGATAAAATGATTTGTTATGCAGGTGAATGGAGAATATATGAGAACTCTGGAGATATTGAGTAAAAAGTTGAAATATGTTGAAACGGATCCGATGATAAAAGCATCAAGAGCTCTGAAAGATGTGCAGCCTGAGTTGGAAAGGCTCCGACAAAAAGCAGTGTCAAAGGTTCTTACTCAGTTTAGAAACATACTTATTTGTAGTGTTCCTATTCAATGATTGAGTGAAATTTCTATAACTTGTTGCTCGTATATTTCATCTCTGAGCATGATATACATCCTAAATTCTCTAAAGGGTCAACTGTGTTTTTTTTAATTATATTATGGCAATGAGTTTAGATATATTTGATGTGTAGTTCTTGTCTTGTAGGAAGCTAAAGATGTTTTTATAAGACTGCAATGGAATTTCATGGATGAAATTATTTGGAATAAATTCTTTATTGTGCTATATGCATGAGAAAAACTTCAGACCTGCTATACAAAGGCCTAATAGGTAGAAAAAGAATAAAATCAAAGAAAATTTTTTTTTGATGTGCACAGTGTTTCAAAAAGCGCTAAGTGGCACCTAGGCGGCCGTCGGGGTCCAGGCCGCCCAGTTCCTAGTTGGGCACTCAGAACTTGGGCTGTCCAGTAGAAAGAAAAATGTTAGAATTTTAATATTCTAACCGTAAATGAGGACAATTTTGATATTCTAACCACAAATATTAGAATTTTGATATTTTATCCATAATCCATATTTTCATATAATGCTAAAACCACACAAGCATACACTGATACACACAAAAGTTAGATAGTAGAAATTAGAAACTAAAACGAAAAAGCAAATATACAAAAATTCAGAAAATATACTGTCTAGGACTCAATAGTCAACACTCAACACCAAGAGTCAAGAGTCTTCCTTTCCTTATTCTTCAATCATCATTATCATCATCAGAAGGAGCAGGTAAGCCTCATCGTATGCATCAGATTCGAGGCTATTATTATCAGACTCAGAGTCATCTCCCTCTTCAACATAATGCTCATCCTCCTTTGTTTCTTTTGAATCTGCCTCTTCTACCTCCCTCTTACTTTGTGTAGATGCGGCCCTGGGAGTCTTGGCTGCTCTTCCCTTTTCTATTTTTTTGTGTTTCCCTGAACTCAAATATTGTATATCTCCTCCCTGGTAGCCTTAGGAACATTTTTACACGGGACAACATCCCCCTTAATACCGGCAAGGTGTTTTTTGAACTTGTAAATACCCTCATTAGTATCTTTTCTACAATAATTATATTTATTACAATTTTTGTCATTCGGATTCGGGTTATGACCGTACTTCCAACCTGGATCATTACTTCTAGAAGAACCTGGATAAGATATTTTCATAGAACAAGGCTCATTTTCATCCTTTTCTGGTTATACTAAGTTCAGATATTGTCTAATCTCATGTCGAATAGCTTCAGGAACCTTTTTGCAAGAAGCAACATTCCCTTTAATACCAACAAGGTGTTTCTTGAATCAGTTAATACCCCCATTGGTATCTTTTCATAGAAATTACACCTTATATAATTTTTATCGTTTGGTTTCAGGTTATGACCATACTTTGAACCCGGATCACTTCTTCTAGCAGAACCAGAAATAAACCTATTCAAATGACAAGCATTTTGTTCCTGTATATGTTTCACTGAACTCATATATTTGGTTATTCTCCTCTTTGATAGCTTCAGGAACATTTTTACAAGGGGCAACATTACCCTTAATACCGACAAGATATTTCATAAATCGGTTTATACCCGCTTTTGTATCTTTTTCACAATAATTGCATTTTATGCAATTTTTGTCATTCGGATTCGGGTTATATCCATATTTCCAACCTGGATCTCCACTTTGACTAGATCTTAAAGAAGACATCTCAAAATAAAACAAGCAATTTAAAAAATAAAGTTTTGCACTTACTTTGATTGCTTGAACTCCAAACTTCCACCTCTGAGATGTTTTCTGGTGCTAAAATATTAAAAAATACCCTCTAATAGGACTAAAAAAACTCCAAAGCTAAATCTAAACTTGATGGATGATGTTTGTGGTTTTAGGTTTTAAATGAACCCAAAATCCATCTTTAAAAGCATTTTTTTTTCAAAAAACCCCAAAAGAACTCTAAAAAAAAAACCCATTTCCATCCCTTGGGCGGGGCGCCTGCTCTAGGTGGCCGCCCAGGGACCGCCCGCCTAGTTTGGCCGCCTAGGCCTGGGCGATGCGCCCAAGTCTTCTGGACCGCCTAGGCGGCCACCGAGGCGCTGGGCGGTCCGCTTTTTGAATCACTGGATGTACCTTAAGAATGTAAAGCTGGCAAGTTTCACATTCAACATAGAACAAAGTGTGTGGCAGTCTTATTAAACTATCACATTCAAGAAATCTATCAAATTGCCCATGAAATATGAATAATTGAACGCCTTGCCTATATCTTTTGATTTAATTTCAAAATACACATAAAAATGACATGATTTTGAGTTGGAATAGTTGCAAATGGATAGAATGTTAAATAATTCATCTCATATGGGCATTTTGATAAATTTCCCTTGAACTTATTAACAATGAAAATTCAACTACAAGTTTTTAGTGTGGATCATTCCATTTCTAGGCTGGCATGTACTATATATTTAGAATTTGACTGTCTTCTCTATGAGTTGGATCTCTTTGGAGCCCCTTGACAGTAGTTAGCTCGGCTTTTTCCTTCAGAAAATGAGTTTGCCTCGCTTTCTCTTTCTCAGCCAAGACTATGTCCTTACTTTTGAGTTATTGCTCCCCTTGACATATTCTTGGCTATTGCTATTCTTTTCCTCCGTGCAAGTTCTATATTTGGCCTCAGCCCTTGTGGCATGTGGTTTGTATAAGGCCGGGATCTTAAACAATCAAAGTATGGCGCAACTTCAAAGTATTGAAAGATGTTGTTTCAATACTGATAATCTTTGTGATGGCTTGAAAATTTATTTTCATGACTAATTATAAAATTAAAAGCTTTAAAAATAGTGTAGCTCGAGCAAATCTATGAACACTTGAAAAACTTGAAAATTGATGGTCCGAAAATGCATTACAAGATTCACTATGTCCAAGACTTGAAATCTATTTTTTTATGTCTATACATCTTGAGGTCAAGATGATCAAATTGAGGATGTTTGGGCATCGAAACTTCTTTTAGGTGTGCCTTAATTTGATTGTTTAGGGCCTTGCCCTTATGTAAACTTTTTCCATCTTGTAATACATTATCTAGACTATCCATTTTCAAGATTTTCAAGTGTTTATAGATCTACTTGATTTGAACCATTATTGGAGTTGAAAATTTTATAATTAGAGAGGAAAATATATTCTCAAGCCATCCTAAGAATTTTTGACATCAAAATTATGTTTATGATAAAAATTGGAGGTGCGCCTTAATTTGATTGTTTGAGGTTGCAATCTTATACAAACCACACCGTATATGTAATGCCTTGGACAGAATTGTACAGATGCGTCGTATTAGACTTAGTGGGGCACCACGGCGTAGCATATTGTGTTCCATTCCTACCACAGTCAGCTTAAATCGTAAAGTGCACCTCAAAAATGCATTGAAAAAGGTTGTTTTGACGTTGATAAGCCGTCTAATTGATCATCTTGAAGTCGAGATGTATGGATATAGAAAAAAAAAAGATTTCCAGTCCAAAAAATAGTACATCTTGCTACACATTATTTGGATCGTCTATTTTCAAGATTTTCATGCATTTATAGATCTGCTTGATAGTTGGAGTTTAAAATTCTATAATTAGAGATAAAAACAGATTCTTGGGCCATCCTAAGAATTGCCGATGCTAAAATTGCATCTTATGACAAAGTTTGGTGGTGCGCCTTACTTTGATTGTTTAAGGTTGCTACCATGC